CGTTCAACAATGAATCGGTTTACGCGTAGTTCGATGACCAAGGGATCAATGTGGGGGAGTGTTACGCCGACCAAATCAGAATCATCGAAAGTAATACTCGCAGCTTCATGGGGTCGTTTCGTTGGTGTGATATGCTTTTGGAGGTTAAGTGTAACTGAATTGTATGTATCGCGGATGCCGTCGGCAAGCTGTATATCATATGGATCACACCGAGTGGAGGTGAATCCTGCCGTAAAGCAATTGTTTTGGTTGAGTTATTATTTCGGACGTGTTGTTCAAGCCAATCGTTTTGTACCAACTCTTCTAGGTGATCCTTCAACGCATAACAATTATCAGTATCATGACCATGGTCTTTGTGATATTCGCACCGCTTATCCCGTCTCCTCGTGTCGGGAGGTCCCACCATCTTGGGTGGCCACTTGAAGTACATAAGGTGTTGAACTTTAGACATAAGTGTGCTGATTGGCTCTGACAACTCTGTATATTTCTTGTCCGCGCGCCTGGTGCGCTTGCTATCTATTTGCAGTTGTTCATTAGCCCGGTGTGAACATTGGTCGCTTGATCGGCGTGAATCACGTCTTTTATCTCGCTTAGCTCGATTCCGTGGTTCAGGGCTCCGTGATGGTACAGAATTTATCGGCTGAACGATTTCAGATGGGGCCGTCTTGTTGGCCTTGTGCTCGGCTTTGACCCGCAAGGCATCATCCTCCACTTTGCAATATTTCTCGATTTTCTTCATCAACGACCATAATATTTTGGGGGACCTTCTGGTCAAGGAGCTGCGAAGGGCACTGTCAGGATGTAATTCCATTTTAAAGGCGGTGATGGCCATGGAGTCATTGCAGGCATTATCTACTAAATTAAAGTATTCTCAATAGCGCGCCGAATACGCACGTAGGGTCTCCCCTGGTTGGATTTGGATTCCCTAGAGAGAATTAGCCTGCTTCGGCTGGACTTCATTGGTGATGAACCTTGCCCTGAAGGATTTTTGGAGTTGATGGAAGCTCTTAATCTATGCCAGTTTCAATTTATAATACCATCTGACGGCCCATGGTCTCATACTGCTTGGAAATATTTGACACATACGGGCCTCGTCGTTTGCATGAAGCGTCATGGCTTGCTTATAATGATGAATGTGATTGGTGGGGTCCGATTTTCCATCGTATAAGGTGAACGATGGAGCTTTGAACTTTTTGGGTAGCACTGCCCTTGCGATCCGTTGCACAAAGGGGTCATGCTGATCCTCTTTGTCTGAATCATTTCTTCTTCGCTTGTTCCGCACTCGCGGACTTCCTTCGGAAGAACTGGAGACTTCAACTCATCCCTTCCTTTGGGTTCTGGAGATGATGAGTCAGAATCACTGCCATTGTCATGTGTCCGAATTCGAGGTCGTCGACCATCCTTTCGTAGAGGTCATGCTAGATCTTGGCACGCGGCTTGTTGGGTTTTTGCCACCTCCAAGGCCAAATCCTGTCGAAGGCGCTCGTTCTCAGCCATCATGTTTTCCAACCTCTGTTCATTTTGCTTTGCCTGATCTATAATCACTTGCATTGTCTCATGTGCTGATGTTGAGGGTGAGATCTTGGCAACTGAGTCGAAGTTTAAGGCCCTTCGTGCGGCAATGTTCTCTGGCCCAAGCATGTTGCTTGGAATGGTATCATCTCGTGGCGTAAGGTCGTCAGTGACTACCGGAGGATCTTTCGTCATGCCCGCCATGGATGTGCTGGAGTATTCCCACAGACGGCGCCAATTGTGGAGAAGTGTGGTTTGGAAATACTTTCTGGATCCTGTAGGACGCTCTTGATCCTCAGCTAGTCACCTGAAAGGGAATGAACAATCCGATCGGGGGTGCCGGAATTAGCACTCCGACAGATAAGTCAGTATATACTCTCTTGGTTACTTTTATCTCAAGTTAATCAATCTTGTTCTCACATACCTTTTCTTAGTTGATACTCTTCTTATTTATAGTTGTCCTTGATGTTGATGGTTGGGCCCATCTTTCATCCAACGAACAAACTCTTATTCGGCTTCCTATTCTTATTCAGCCCGGTTTACACCTGAGCCTTCGGCAGATCTGGTTATTCGGCCTGTCCTTTCGGGATAGAGCTATATGGCACACGACTTGGTTTCCTTCTTTAAAATATTCGGCTTACCTACGTAATAACATTTTTGGCCCCCACATATATATAGAGACCTTGCATCTGAGCGGTGGTGGCATCCAAGAGAAGAATAAGAGAGAGGGCGATGGAGAGAATGCGACGTCTAGTAGCCTCCATTTCCCTTGTACTGTGAAGATATAAAAATGATGGGAAAAAAAGAATAAACAAAAGAAAGATAGAAAAATGACTGTATTATTAAAGCACAAAAACAAATAAGAAATGAAGCTTTCAAGTAATCAATAAGAAGCCATCAATGAACACACACAAAGTATCTAGATTAGAGAGAGTAAGATAAAAACCTTGCAATTCGAGGAGCTGCGAGGGAGCAACCGCCAATTGAGTTTCCTTGGGTGATGGATCTCAGGCGATGGTGACCAACAACGAGGTGAATTCGTGCTCCGGTTGCAGTGACCGCGAAGGAGGGGAGAGGAGCAACAGAGAGGCACACACACATATATATATATATATATATATATTACACCATTACTGACTAAATATTTTTAGTCGCCAATTAATTTTTTAAATCCCTTCAAAATTTGAAATGTCTCCCTCAAAATATTTTAGTTTTTTGGCGACTAAAATATTTTTTTGTTGCTGAAAATGAGTTTTTGGCGACCAAACTTTTGGTTGCCAAAGATAAAAAATAATTTTTTATTTTACATTCGGCGCCTAAATTGTTTTAGTAGCCAAAACTCAATATATGGTGACTAAAATATTTTTTTGTTGCTAAAAATATGTTTTTTGTGACTAAACTTTTGGTTGCCAAAGATAAAAAATAATTTGTTATTCTACATTTGGTGCCTAAATTGTTTTAGTAGCCAAAACTCAATATACGACGACTAAAATAATTTTTTTTCGCTAATTCTTTTATTTTTAGCGACTAAAAAAGTCGTCAATAATCAATATACCCCGACTAAAAAAAATTAATAGCTAAATATTGTACTTTTGCTGACTAAAAAATTTTTTGGTCGCCAATTCCACAACTTTTGGTGACTACATTTGTTTTAGTTGCCAAACGTGCATTTTGTTGTAGTGTCTATTGTAGACGTTGGTGGGAGCCACGAGGGCTCCGATGATGGAGAGAGAGTAGATCAGTGGAGAGAACAATGTGGCGAATCGGTGGCGGAGGTAGCAACAGACTCCAACGGTGTAACGCTTCTGGTTGATGTTGATGCGACGGCGCTAGCGATGCTAGATCTTTATTAGAGCGAACATTCGGCTGGCACGACACATGTTTCCAAAGACACCTTGGTCGGCACAGTGAGTGCCGCTGCCAGGAACGCGGGGGATACGGGAGACAACGCGACTGGTGCCCAAGCCTTGGCGGAGGTCTGGTGGCTGGCCTTTTTGGAGACGAACACAAAGAGAAAAAAGAAGAAGAGAGAAGAGAGAGAAAATGAAGGGTTTGGTGTTGTGTTTCACTGTTTAATATATATGCATAATTTAGTTATTGTACTTGAACTTGTCATTTTGACAAAATATTCCAACATATGAACCTTGACCAAATAAAATTGAAATTTAAGCCTCGTTTGGCAAGAGGCTATTTTAGCCAATTAGCCAAAAAGTTACTAAATTAGCCAAAAAGCCAACAACCCATACCAAAAAGTCAAAGATTCTCTTTTCTCTCTACTTTTTGCACATCTTTTCGTAATTAGCCAAAAAGTCATCCAAAACATATAAGTTTTTTTTACCTACCTTTGTAGCCAAATAGCCAAAAAGTTACTAAATTAGCCTGTTCCCAAACGAGGCCTTAGAGTTTTAAACTGAGTGCCTTTTTTTCTATTGTATTTATAAAAACTAAAATTAAAATGTCATTTATGAATCATATAAGAGCAAGGAGTAAAAGAGATATTGCTACATCTTAACTATTATTACTTCTAATAAACAAGTGGAAACTCAATCTTCAATTTCATGGTAAATTTTGACAATAAAACTATAAGAGCAAGAAGGAGAAAAAGAGATATTGCTAAATCTTAACTATTCTTACTTCTAATAAACAAGTGGAAACTCAATCTTCAATTTCACGGTAAATTTTGACAATAAAACTATGAGTTAAAACTAGCCATAGGGGTCATGTTCTAGCACTTTCGTTTGCTGATTTTATTTTTATTTTTTAAAAGTTAAAAATAAAAACTTATTTGGTATTTTATTTTTATTTAAGAAAATATAATTTAATTTTTTTTTTACTCACTCTCTCCAATCTATCAACACTCATTTAGGTTCCGTTTCGGATTAGAGTTTGGGCTAAAATAGTCATATAAGACAAAATAGATTATTTTAGTCAAATAGAATAAAATGTCACATTCAACTCATAATCATTTTATTTTTTTTCTCATAAAAATAAAAAAAGCTAAAAAATTTATTCCAAACAAATTTTTTTTTTACCCAAAATTAAAATAATTAAAAAATCAACTTGCATTCCAAAAACCTTAAAGTAAGTTGATGAGTTCTCATATTTTTAGTAACTCTTTAGATAGTCACCAACTTTATCACTTGCCACCTTTTGACCACCCTCCGATCACTTTTTATGGCCTCTCACTGCCAGCCATTACGTGTATCCACCATCCATCGTCCATCACTAACTTGAACAATTCATTAAATACAATTTTTAATTTTTACATTTAAAATATTATTTACACCAAATAAAATTTATATATTTTTTTTGAGAGAATTATATACAGATAGGAAAAAGAAAAAAAAAAAAATTATAATCACATGAAAAATGCATTTGTGGTGACATAGGAAAAGGAAAAAAAAATGAAAAATGCATTTGTGATGACATAAATAAAAAGTTATGGGATGCTAATGTTAATTTTTTTTCTCCCCCTTTGTTTTTTGGCAAGTAGAAAGTTGGAAACTGAAACCACAGCCAAATTTCTGTGGGTCTTCTTGGATATTTTTATGCAGCTTGTCTGTTTCTGGTATGTGAAACTTGCACGGTTTGCACTTTGTTTTTCTGTTCTTCATCGTAGTTCCATATATATCTTTGGGAATCCTCGTATACATGATAATCTCAAAATCTAACGAAGACCCACTTCAAATCACCTCCAATTCTGTCTAACCCTTGTCCCTATTTTCCTTCTCATCCCCTATATGAACCCCAAAATTCGATCTTTGTAATAGAATTTTCCTTCATTTTCTCTAATTTATTTTTTCCCGGGAAAATCCCGTAGACCTACAACCATGGCTGCTGCACTAAGATCAAAATCATCTAGAGACACGGTCACTCAATTCAGATTCTTCATACTCAACCACTTGCACGGTGGTGGTCGTATGCTTAGTTCCTTTTCCAATTACAGAACCAAATGGGACAATTCATTCTCTAACACTCACAACCATTTCACTTCATTTAAACGAGTCTCAGTTCATGGGGATTTGGTCGATAGGGGCACTGGAATTAGCGATAATCGAAGGTTTTTGCCTAGTTTTGTCAAGAATAGGAGGAAATCTGGGTATGCCTGTAATATTTTGAATTCTTATGGAGAACCCCCTGAGATTTGGCAACCTCCTGGAGATGGAATTGCAGTCCGTCCAGGTGTGAAATTGGTTCGGGTTTCGGATGGGGACACTGCGACCACGGGTTCGGGAGGTGGGTATGGGTCGACTTCGAAAGATGGGAGTTGGGGAGGATCGAATTTGGGTAACAATTTTCCGACCCCCAGAGAGATCTGTAAAGGGCTTGATAAGTTTGTAATTGGGCAGGAGAGGGCAAAGAAGGTGATTCTCAATTTAATTGCTTCACTGTTATTGTTCTATGCTCAACTTGAACTCTCTCTCTCTCTCTCTTTTTTTCCTAATTGATTATTTGAAGATGTTGAATTTGAAATGCAATCTATATGTGGTATTGTTCATGCAAGATATGTTAAAAAGGAAGGTGCTTTTCGGAGGACAACACCATGTGTTGTTTTCTGAAACTGGGTTTTATTTTTGGACAGGTAGTTGTACTCACTGAATTCAATCACTGCTGATCCGTGTCTAATGGTAGTTATACTGTTTTTTATTATGGTTTTTTTGACATTGCCATTTTGTTGTGCGGCATTGAATTCCTCAATGCATACAAGGACTCTTTTGTGGGTTCTGCTATTGAAGTAGAAAAAGAAAAAAGAAAAGAAGAGAAAAAGAAATGAAATTAAGTTTGTATTGCAAAACACATATTGGAGCTAATTGTATGTACAACATACAGTTGATTGATTTCTGGTTGTTGATGGTGTAATTTAATGTGGAACATTTGTTTTGATAGAGTTTGTCTAATACAGGCTCCCTAATTGTATGTCCTGATTACAGGTGCTTTCGGTGGCAGTTTACAATCACTATAAGAGGATTTCTAATGACTCTTCACAGAAGTGGTTAGTCCTAAACCTTTGGTTGCCAACAATTATCTTTTATTTCTTTTATATGTATTACTCTTGGAAATAATTCCAGTTGCAATCTACGTGCTGTTTGCTTCATAATGCTTATGGCAATGTCTATGATTATATTCACTGCTAACATTTATCACTACAACTTGGAAAGTAAGGCCTGCAGGAGACTCAGTCAATGACAAAACAGATGCCATGGGTGATGAGTCTGTGGAACTTGAGAAAAGTAATGTGCTTCTAATGGGGCCAACAGGTTCAGGTAATCTAGCATTGTATTACCTTGAATCTCCTTTGATTTTTGTGCTTCAATGTGTATACTTTGTGCCCGAATATTGAAGTGTGGTAAAGAATCTTAAGTCAAACTGCAACTTTTAGGAAGGCTAGTGGTTTGAATTTGGTTGGATAATTGTAATTTTCAAGGCATGTGCCAGGTGTGCTTGAAAATCTCTCTCTCTCTCTCTCCACACATGCACTCACGCTTTAGGCATGTGAATATCATATGAGATATCTCAGTTACAAACATCTGTTGTGAATGCTAGTCTATGGTTTGATCTAACATTAAAAAGTATCTATGCTTTAGTGTGATTCTTTAGTCTGCATATGAAGTATCAAGATATTTTTATACATTTTTAGCTAATACAATAATAGTCTTTTGTTTTTTTTTCATTATTGCTGCCATGTTGTGATTTCTACAACAAACCATTGAAATGTTAATTATAATAGATCTCTCTTTCTGTAAACATCCACGTTGGTGCAAAAAAAATTAGTGCACAAGGCTCCCGTTAAAGCAGGGTTTGGGATTTGGAGAAGTTGTTTCTGACTCAAACCCGCGCCACCTGGTGAAAAAATTAGTTTGTTGAATTTTCTTTTAAATGATTAAAAAAATAAAAAATAAAAAAAATACATTTATAGTTTCTTAGCATAAATTTTGCAGTCTCAAAATTGATGAAAGCAAATTTTTAGTAGATGTAACTTCCCCTGTTCTGACCTGTTATCTTCAGTTACTGGTTTTCTCTCTTAATCTTGTAATGCATTTCAAGGACAGGGAAGACATTACTCGCCAAAACTTTGGCACGGTTGGTGAATGTTCCCTTTGTTATTGCGGATGCCACTACACTAACTCAGGCAAGTTGGTAGCTCTTCCTCATGGCTATCCCTCTGATTTTGTCTTCTGCTACTTTTTATGCAAAATAATAGTTTGGCCTCCCATGTACTAAGGCTTTGAGCTTTGATATTCTGTATGTGCAGAAAAATTCAAATCTCTCATAAGTTTGCTTGCTTGTAAATCTGAAGGTTTAGAATCATGTTTTGTTGTAATGTGCAAATTACTCTCTCTTTAGTGGATGATGTGATCTGGAAGTTCAATTTTCTCTTGGAACATGTTCAATTCATGATTAGTCTGAACAGAATGATCGAAAGTTGTTTTGGTTTTAAGCATGCATCTTGTTTTCTCTCTCTCTCAAATATGAAATTCACCTTTTGACAACCTAAAGAAAAGATAGCCATTTTTTCACTGTTAATTTTATAGTTTTTACCCTTTTTTATTTGAAAATACTGACAAATTTTATGCTTTGAATTTCTTTTCTATATTTGAGGTTTGGTTGTGATTTTTCCAGTTATAATGGGATACTGAGTTTGGTGCTGAGATATTTGATTTTGCTGACCATGACAACATATTGTTCTTTGCAGGCAGGATATGTTGGGGAAGATGTGGAGTCCATATTATACAAGCTGCTTATGGTAAATTTCTACGACACCCCCCATCCAAAACACCTACACAGGGACGGAGCCATGTCCCCTCCCACATTCCAGTTATCCCCTCTGCATGTATATATAATTTGGCAGAGTTTGGATTATGCTGTTAATGGCCCCCTTCCTGTAATAGTTAAAGCTCTTGAGTGTGTAACCACTAATTGTAGTTTCAGGAAAAAAACAAGTTTTTATATTTATTTTTTTGTAAAAAATGGTTTTAATTTGTGGCTAGGAAACTTCCAGCACCATAACTGTCTCCACTCTATCTGAGTAAAAATTATTAGCTGCTCTTCATTCCAATTATTAATTGACACTGTTTACATTGTGATGTAGATCATGGAAAGAAGAAAAAGAGCAAATTTGGAATTTCACATGAAGCATATTTAGGGCATCAAGAATTAAAGATTTGGAATAATTTTGAGTCTTCATACCATTATAGTAGGTTTTAGTAATTAAGGGTATAATGGTAATTCCAATAACTGTTGGACATGGGTTGTAGGGGTCATCCATGGGTTTTATTTTGGGTCAAGTTATTAAATGGGTTATTATATATGGGTTTTATTATGTCTAAAATAAACATAGTGATTAAAAGTGTAAGTTTTCTATTTTGATGTTGAAATAGAATTAGAAGTCGTTAAAGTTTCCTATTATGATTGAAGTAGAATTGGAAGTCATAGTTGGTCTAGAATATTAGTAGCTGCTAAATATTTTTAGTTTCTAAATTTGAGAAATAGTCCTTATAGAATTAGGAGTCTTTAGCCTATAAATATATGTGTAATCTCAATAATTCAATAGAAGAGTTAATATTATGAAAATTTGAGATTGTGTTTGTGTGATTGGTCTATCCCTTGTGAGTGTGAAGCACTTTTCTCTCTCTCTCTCTCTCTCTCTGTCTTTCTTCTTCTTCTTCTATCCAGTAAGGTTACTGTTCACGTCATTGTTCACAGTGCTCAGAATAACCACCCAATTGTCCCTGAACACTTGTATTTTCATTCCCAAAACCCTACCTTTTTACAAATCTGTAAACTCCTTTTTTTTTTAAAAATACTTTTGCATTTACAAAATCCCACCAAATCCAGCCGTATAAGGCTAATGTTACTGCTGCCAGTATACTTAACCCGGTCTCACTACTTTCAGCAAGGATACTATTCATAGTGCTCAGAACAGTCACCCAACTGTTCCTAAACACTTGTGTTTTCATCCCGAAATCCCTACCTTTTTACAAATCCGTAAACTCCTATTTTTTTTTTTTTAAAATACTTTTGCATCCACAAAATCCCACCAAATCCAGCCCTATAAGTCTATTATTGCTGCTGCCAGTATACTTAACCCGGGCTCACTACTTGTAGAAAAGTAATCCCTACTCGTCCTGCATCAGTTTGGTATCAGAGCTTCAAGATCCTACTTTTATTCTCCACTTTATTTTTTATTTTTTTTTTTGACATAGTTTTTTTTATTGAATACTATGGTGACAAATGATAAATTGAATTCCAAGTTTGAAGCCTTCTCCAAAGATTATGAGGCTACCAAGGAGGATGTTGCAACGATAAAGAGTGATGTGCATACTATCAAAACAACTTTGAATGGATTAAAATCTTCCATGGAAAGATTGTTGGCTGCTGTTTTGGAGAAGACTCATATTTAGGAGTAAAAGGATGATGGTGTTGAAGATTTTGAAGAAACTATGAAAGAACAAGATGAACATACTTGCTAATATTGAGGATATTGACGAAAGGAAGGTAAAAATTAATTTGCTTACTAAAGAAAGCATGAAAGATCATCATGATAAATGTTCTAAAGCCAAGGAAGCCAAAGGGAATGATGAGAATGCCACTGAATTTTCTGCTCTTCACAAGAAAAATGAAATTCACATTGATTTTATTGTTCCTGACAAATTCGATGTGGTCAATGGAGTGATGACAACATTAAGCTTTTTGATTTTCTCATTGTTCGGTCAAAACAATCAAGTTGAATGGTTGCAAGTGCAAAATTCCATAATCCTTATACTTCAACATTATAAAACTCAAGGTCGAGTTTTTTTGAATGGAGGGGAGAATGATGAAGATCATGGAAAGAAGAAAAAGAGCAAATCTGGAATTTCACATGAAGCACATTTAGGGCATCAAGAATTAAAGATTTGGAATAATTTTGAGTTTTCATGTCGTTATAGTAGGTTTTAGTAATTAAGGATGCACTGGTAATTCCAATAATTGTTGGACATGAGTTGTAGAGGTCATCCATGGGTTTTATCTTGGGCCAAGTTATTAAATGGGTTATATATGGGTTTTATTATGTCTAAGTTTTCTATTTTGATATTGAAGTAGAATTAGATGTCGTTAAAGTTTCCTGTTATGATTGAAATAGAATTGGAAGTCATAGTTGGTCTAGAATATTAGTAGTTACTGAATATTTTTAGTTTCTAAATTTGAGAAATAGTCCTTATAGAATTAGGAGAGTCTTTAGCCTATAAATGTATATGCAATCTCAATAATTCAATAGAACAGTTAATATTATGAAAATTTGAGATTGTGTTTATGTGATTAGCCTATCCCTTGCGAGAGTGAAGCACTTCTCTCTCTCTCTCTCTCTCTCTCTTCTATCCAGCAAGGTTACTGTTCACTTCATTGTTCACAGTGCTCAGAACAACCACCCAACTGTCCCTAAACACCTGTGTTTTCATTCCCAGAACCCTACCTTTTAAAAATCCGTAAACTCTTATTTTTTTAAATACTTTTGCATCTACAAAATCCAACTTTATAAGTCTATTGTTGTTGCTGCTAGTATACTTAACTCGGGCTCACTACTTGTAGGAAAGTAATCCCTAGTTGTCCTACATCACATTGTCTCCTAAAACACTAACAAAAGTGATAGGTCTTGTTGTCTTAACCATAACTATCACTTTGGAGCACTACTTGGACTTGCTTCCTCTTTACATCACTGTCCACTATACACTAAATACAACTCCCATCCCCTTCCCTTTTCACTCCTCCCTTTTCTTTTCTATTTTGTTGTTTTTGTTGCTTTTACTTTTATTGTTATAGTTTATTTTGTAATTGTTCTAGGTAAGATGGTCAAATCGAGTACTATTTAATAGATGACTATGTGAATATGTATATAAAAAACTATTTATTTTGTTTGGTCCATTAAAAATATTTGTTTATAATAATTATTTTGTCTTATACATTTTAATGCATTGCAAATTAAGGTTTGAAATTATAGATGATGGTGAAAAGTTTGTGGACCTCTGGGAAGATGGTAGTATTTCAATGGCTTGAGTTGAGATCACCGGAGGTGAGAAGGAGAAGACTAAGGTAGCCTTAGAGATAGAGAGGGTGGTAGTGAGAAACCTTGAACACTTAGGTTTCGATGTGTTGTTTTGTGACCACAATGGTGTTGGTATGTTGTGGTTGCATTCATGATACCCTTGTATAGATTCTTGGAGTACTGGAGCCCAAGCTACTTGAGGGCAGGTGGCAAGTTCTCCTTAGCTAGACAAGTTGGTGATATCAGCCCTACTATTGCATCGTATGTTCAAACCTTGGGAAGTCTGTATCATAAGAGTTGCAAGGTAGGTATGATATTTTGGTAGGTGTATAATGGCATGCAACTGTGAGAATATTATGCTAATTATGTAAATATATTAGATTGATTGTGTGAATATTAGATTGATTGTAAGAATATAGGTTTATTCTTATTTCCTCTTTTAGACTAGGTCTATATATCTTGGTTGTACTCTTTGTATTATACACAATAGAATATATAGAAGTCATTCAGAATTTTTACATGGTATCAGAGATGAGTTTGAAACCCTAGTCCCATCATCGTCTTCATCTTAGCTGATCCAAGAGTCAACTATGACGCATTCTGGTTATTTGCTTTTTGGTCATCGTCTTCATCTTTTTCATCTTCTCGCTATTTGCTTTCTGGTTCATGGGTCATAAGAGTTGTGTTTCTTGCTTGCATCACGATCACGACTTCGCAACTTCTCTGTCTCTTCATGATTGCGATTTCTCTCTCTCTGTGGTCCGAAGCTCTCTGGACAAATTTCGCAACTTGGTTGGTGCGAAATCACTACCCTTCAACTTCCCGATTGCCTCTAGTTCGCAAACCTTTGACTCGCGACTTCTTCTCGCTCCTCTCTGACTCGCAATTGTCCCTGGTGTGTGGTTGTCTGGTTGCTTTATTGCATCTACTGGTGGCATTGAAGTGAAGTTACCTCTCAGCTTCTCTCTCTCTCGCAAGGGCTTTGTCTGAGGCTGGTTCGAAACCCCTATCTTTTGGTTGGTCACTTATTGGTATTTGACCCATCGGATTTTGCATATGAAATCCACTAGTATTGATTATTCTCATTATTTTCTGATATTTCATTTAGACCCTACACTCTTTTTGTTTTTATATTGTGATTTTCGATATATTGGTTTGTTACATTTGCCCCATTAGACTTCTACTTAGTACCCTTTGACCCCTGGTTTGGCTATTTAGGGTTTATTTCACTCGAACCTCTTAGCTTTTTGATTATTATGATGTCTCTGGTTTTTGATGAGTGTGCTTTCTGCCATCAACAAGGCCATTGGAAGTATCAATGTCCCAAGAAGGGACGTCTGCCTGCCTTATCTTCTTAGTAGTCTTAGACCTAGTTCTGCTTCCCTTATATTGCATCTGCACCGGTTCTTGATCCTAACTTGGCTTTCTCGAGTGCTCAGATTAGTCAGCTTCAACATATACTATCTACTTCCTAGCCATCTGCCTTTATTGTTTCCTCTCTTCATTTAAGTTTGCTTGGGTCTTCTTCAAGTATCTCTGTCTATCTAGATTTTTGACTCTGGTGCCTTTCATCATATGACTCCCCATCTCTCCTTACATCAAAATTGTACTCCCTTTCATATTACTGTCAATGACACTAATGGGTCTAGTATGTTTGTTATATCTGTTGGGTCTGTTCTACCGTTTGTTATGTTTGCTGTCTCTGTTCCATTTGCCTTATATGTTCCGTAGTTATCTGTTAGTTTATTATCTATCAGTCATCTTGATATCTGTGATTTTGATGCTATCTTTTTTTCTTCTATTTGTTCTGTGCAGAATCGGATGTCCAAGCAGCAGATTGGAACTGGCCGTAGAATTGGAGACCTCTATGTGGTGGAGAGCTTGCATCTACCTATGACCACCTCTTCGACTGCCTTTTCCTCTTTTCAGTTAGATTCTCTGTCAAGTCCTTTCTATTTGTGACATTCCAAATAAGGGTATTTGTCCGCTAACCGCCTACGATCTTTAGCTCAGTTAGGTATATTGGGTAAAGTTTCTCCTAGTCAACTTATCGAGTGTTAGGGGTGTAAACTTACCAAAATGATAGCCTTACCTTTTCGTAAAAGTATTTCTATATTTGATACATCGTTTTTTTTAGTTCATACTTATGTCTGGGGTCTTTCTCCTCTTCTCACTAAAACGGGTTCTTCATACTATGTGTCATTTGTTGATGGCTGCACTTGTTACGCTCGAGTGTGTCTTATGACTCATAAGTCTGACTTCTGCCAGATATACCGTACTTTTCAGTCTATGGTCACTATACAGTTTGGGTCTACTATTAAATTGTTACGGTTTGACTTGGGTGGAAAATATTTTAAAACTGAGTTTTATGAGTATTTAGCCAATTTGGGTACCATTCACCAGACTTCTTGTATTGATACACCTGCCTATAATGGTCGCGCTGAGCGTAAACATCGTCATCTCCTTGAGACAGCTAGGTTTCTCCTTCTCTCTGCATCTGTTCCGGCTCCGTTTTGGGGTAATATAGTTCTTACTGCTACTTTTCTTCTCAACCGTATGTCTACTCCCCTTCTCTCTGGTTGGTCTCCTTATGATGCTCTATTTTCTCAACTTCCCAATTACTTCCTTCTTCGTGTGTTTAGATTTGCTTGTTTTGTCCTTTTACCCCGTAAAGATAAAGACAAAACCGAGTGTCAGGTCTCTCTTGTGTGTCTCTTTGGGTTACAGTCTCACTAAAAAATGTTATTATTGTTATGACCCTGTTTCCCATCATCTATATGTCTCTTGCCATGTTACCTTTCTTGAACGTCTACCTTACTTTTAGGTTCCTTCTCTCACAGTCCTAATTTCATATTAATCCATTTCTTTCTGAGGTCCCTTCTGATGAGTACATCTTTACTATTCCCCATGAGCTTGTTTCCTTTTCTCTTCCTCATTTTCCTTCTCCTCCTCCTCTTCCTCCGTTGTTAGTTTATTCTCGGCGCAAGGCTCTCCGTTCACAGTTGTTTCTGTTCCTGCTGCTGATCCCCTGCTTCTGACGACTCTGATCTTGCTAACGATAAGTATACTCTTCGTATCCGTAAACAGTCAGTTAAACTTGGTTTTGCTAAAACATATTTTTCTTCTTCATACTGCACCTTTTTGTCTGCTATTCACTCTTTTTCAGAACCGTAGTTTTACAAGGAGGCCTGTCAGGATTCTAATTGGGTTCGAGCTATGGAGGATAAGCTGTCTGCTTTGCAGAAAACTACTAGTTGAGAGCTAGTTCCGTTGTCTACTGGCAAAAATCTGGTTAGTTGCAAATGGGTCTATAAAGTCAAGACTCACTCTAATGGTTTTCTTGAGCTCTACAAAACTCACCTGGTTGCCAAAGGTTTCTCATAGGAGTATGGTATTGTTTATGAGGAGACATTTGCCCCTGTTGCCAAGATGACTATTGTCCGTACTCGGATTTCTGTTGCTTCTGTTCGTCATTGGTCTCTCTATCAGATGGATGTTAATAATGCTTTTCTTAATGGCCATCTCACTGAAAAAGTTTACATGCATCCTCCCCCTGTCCTTTCCTATTCCTCTAGATAGATTTGTTGCTCTGTATAGTTTGAAGCAATCTCCTCGTGCTTGGTATGATCACTTTCAGGCCGCTGTCACTCAGCTTAGGTTTCATCCTTGTGCTCAGGATTTTGTTTTGTTTCTCCTTCACACCTCTGTTGGTTTTGTTGCCTTGTTACTGTATGTGGATGACATGATCATCACTGGCTCTGTCTCTTTTGCTATCTCTGAGGTCAAGTAACATTTTTTCTGTACCTTCAAAATGAAGGATCTGGGCCCCTTGAGGTGTTTTCTTGGTATTGAGGTAGCTTTTTCTCGTAAAGGCTACTTTCTGTTTTAGGCTAAGGGGTGGTTTGAGATGTTCTAAATAAGTGTACTTTTTGACTTTTTATAAAAAAAAAAAATGTGTAGAAAAGTAGAGAAAGTGATTAGAAAAGTAGAGAGGAGATATTAATAGATGTTAATTGATGTGACCCAAATAAATGTATATATGCAAAAAAAGTACACTTTTTAAGGTCAACCCAAACAAGCACTAAGTATGCAAATGAGGTTATTCACCGTGCTGGTCTTATTGGTCTTATTGACACTAAGATTTCTGATACCCCTATTGAGCTTAATGTGAAGCTTAACAGTATTGATGTTGCCTCTCTGGATGATCCTACTTTATATCGAAAACTTGTGAGTTGCGTAGTCTATCTAACCGTCACTCGCCTTGATCTTGCCCATGTTGTTCATGTGGTTAGCCAGTTCGTTTCTGCTCTTTGTTCTACACATTGGCCTGCTTTGGTTCACGTTTTTTGCTATCTTCGGAGTACTATATTTCACGGCTGACTATTGTCCTCCACTTCTTTTTTGGACTTGGTGGTTTATATTGATTCTAATTGGGCTGGCGATGTTACTGATCGTAAGTCTACTTTTGGCTTCTGTATGTTTCTTGGTCATTCCTTGATTTTTTGGAAGAGTAAGAAACAAACTGTTGTTGCACGTTCCACTGCCGAGGCTGAGTTCTGTTCTATGGCTTATGCTACTGCTGAGATTGTTTGGTTTCGTTGTCTCTTATTTGATTCGGATGTACCTCAGTCGTCTCTGACCTCTCTTTACTATGACAATTGCAGTGCTATTCAAATTGCCCATAACACTATCTTCCATGAGCGAATGAAACACATTGAGATTGATTGTAATTTTATTTGTCAGCATCTGCAGTCTGGCTTCCTTTCGTCTCTTCGGCACTTCAGCTTACTTACTTCTTTACCAAGATTCACACCACTGCTCGTTTTCAGTTCCTTCTTGGCTAACTCTTAGTGTTTTCTACTAAAACATCTTGAGTTTAAGCGGGCGTGTGAGAATATTATGCTAATTATATAAGTATATTAGATTGATTGTAAGAATATAGGTTTATTCTTATTACGTTTTTTAGATTAGGTTTATATAATTTGGTTGTACTCTTTGTATTATACACAATAGAATATACAGAAATCATTCAGAATTCTTATAGCAACATGCATGGGTGTAAGGTCAATGTCCCCTTTATAAGCCTGGTTAAGGTGGAACTGTCACAGCAGGGAGACAACCAAGCCACCTTGACGAACCCTGGGTCTTATCCTCCAATTCACAATCCTCCAATGATCCCGTGCCTAGGTCTTGCTCCCAACCTAGGCAGCCATGTGGTTGAAGAAAACAAGTGAGCATATAGGCGAGCCAAGGTCTCAGCCCTAGGCCGCCAATTGAACATAGGTGAGCCAAGGGCCCAACCTTAGGATGCCACGTGAGCATAGGTGACCCAAGGGCCCAACTATGCTGCTGTAGGGAGAGAATGTGCTTCCTATTGGAATGAGGTATGAAGGACCATGGCAAGCAAGGGCTCTAGGTGAACCATGGTGCTGCCAAGCGAGTTGGCTTCGCTGCATGAGGTAGGCCATGTCAGGCTCTTCATACTACGACTTATTTGCCTTGGAGCTCTTATGTTTAAGGTATCAACCGCACTAGCAAGCTCCATACTTGGTGGTGTGTATGCCCCAGCTTAGGCTAGGCATACAACCCCAACTGATCATGGTGCCTCGGAGGTTTGCCACACGGGGGTGTGATGGCGATGACACGGCGCCCAAAGGGCTCACCACATGCCGGGCGTGTTACAACTTACATACAAGTACTCACATACTTATTTAGCCTTGTGCTCCGAAGCTTTGCTTCTTTATTTTGTAGCACCACATCCTTCCATGTTATCCTTCCATGTTGTATTATTTAGTTGTGGCCTCTATTGTTTTCCCTATTGAATCACTTTAGGTTCATGCTGAATGCCTTTCTGTTCCTATCTTCCGTATTCTTCTCAAAATCCTCAATTGGAAAAAATCAAATTTCTTGCAAGTAACATTCTTTATCGGACTAAATAATGTTCCAATGAAAAAAAAGGGGCAAGTGTAATACAAATTGGTCCGAAATTCAGTGCACCTATGTTTAGGGAAGAACAGACTTAGTGCTAAGTAACATTTTATTTCCTTGGATAATGCATTTGTTGCCTTTCAAAATTCATCTTGAACACTTTTTTGTACCATAAGTTTTTCATTTCATAGGATCTTTCGTTCTTATGAGGGCTGGTATTATCTCAGGTTGCTGACTATAATGTGGCAGCTGCTCAGCAAGGCATTGTGTATATTGATGAAGTTGACAAGATTACAAAAAAGGTTTATCTAACACTATTTGAGGGTCGAGAATTATCTTTTGTTTATTTTCTAAATCTGAAATTGCTATTGTCTGCACTCTTCCTATAATTTTCATTTTTCATATTGCAGGCTGAGAGCCTCAATATAAGCAGGGATGTATCGGGTGAGGGTGTCCAGCAGGCATTACTAAAAATGTTGGAAGGAACGGTAAATGCATCTTCTACTTGGTATACTATGAGTTTAGTTAAATGGGAAATACTTGTTGGTCCATTGGGCACTATGGAGGAACTGAAGGGTTTTTGTTCATTTTTTTTGCGTCATTCTTATGACCCATCTGTTGATAATTAGTCCAATTTATTTAAACACACTTGATTAGTCACACTGGCAATGATGATGGTCAAATAAACAAGAATTACAGCTGCAATCCTTAATCCCAAGTTTCTAATAGCATGAAGGTTATCACCCTGAGAGATAAATTAAGTTAAAACAGACTTAAGACAAAAATAATGAAGCATATTAGATTATTTCACTGAGTTTTATTGTTCTAGCCATTCTTCTGAATGGAGTTCACTCTGTAGTGAATCACCTTCCCTCAATCAAGATGTTTGTTGGTGTTGGCGAATCTGCTTGAAATTATTTTTAATTTGTAAACCACTGGCTTCATTATCCTATAGGTTCTCCACTCCCTATGCATGTTATCTCTTTGAAGTCTCAGGAACATATTTTGAATATGGTCATCAAAAACATGTTCAAGGAAATTTTTGGAATTACCCTTCTGCTGATTTTTTTTTTAAGGGCAGGCAACGAATGTGTAAATCACCTTCCTGGAATCAGCAGGTCATGTTAGACTTGACAGGGAATATTCTGGTTTAGGTCACCATCTATCTCGCTCTCCTGGACTTAAATATTGGGGTAAATTACAAATACACCCCCGAGGTTTGTTTAAAATACGGATTGCTCCCCGTGGTTTGAAAAATACCCCATTGTTAGGATTTTTCATTTAACAAAATTAACTGAAAAAATGAAATTCATAACTATTCTCGTATACAATAATAAAATTACTTGAATTATTAATTGAAATATATTTCTAACATCATTAAAAACTGTTAATTGACTTGATTATTTATTTATAAAAGAGTTCATTTGTTATGAAATTAGAAACTTCGAGAGGTGGGATGTAATTTCCAAAACTACAGAGGCCAAATCGTATTTTAAGTAAAACTCAGGTGGTGTATTTGTAATTTACCGTAAATATTTCACAACTGGGTCCATGTAATTGCCTCAAAGTAATTGAAAGTTCTATCTTCCCATTTTTAGTGCTTTACCAAAAAGACTCCTTGAATTCCAAAATTATATTTAATATGTGATACCCATCTCTTGCATCTCTTATCCTTTATCCATTGAGCTTGTATCTTTCATTAATTTATTTGGGTTGAAATGAGGTGCTGCAAATTTATTTATTTATATATTTTTTGGGTTGGTAAGCGGTTAGTTTTATACCAAAAAAAGGAGATATTACAGTGATGCTCAAGACACGACTCCTATGGTCAACACAGCTTAGAGAAGTGATACCCAAGCCACAGGCTTGGACAAAATAGTACACCTAACCTAATAAGATAAATCTCTTACAACTCGGGAGGCTAAATGAAACTAACATGCCCAAGAACCCCCATAAAACAAATAAAAAACCTTCACAGAAAAAATAAAGAGTAGTTGATGCAGGACAACTTTAGGATACTTGAGTATTGCCGCCTACGATAGTCAACGGGTATTCTGGTGGGTTTTGTTATGGAAAGCTTCTAGTGTTAGGGTTTTGTGAAGGAGAAGAAATTTTGTAGGGTTGTTAGATGTAAACGGATAATGTGGGCTTAATTTTCAAGAGTTATAAGTTGCAGTATTTTTTAATCTAATCTCAGTATCTTTTTGGCCAACAACTATTTTATGATGTTTTAGTTGGAATGGCCAAAGGATAGGGAACAGGTTGGGGATGATTTGAACTTGATTTGCTAAGGTTTAGGTGTTAAAAAGGGTGCTTGTTTATTTATCCAAAAAAAAAAAGGGGCTGTTTATGGCCATGAACAATAACATGAGAATAGTAAATTGGGTATGTTGACAAAGAAAAAGAGAAGGAAATAGATGATCCTCACAAGGATTAGGCAAATTCACACAAAAACAATCTCAATTTTTTATTTTTATTTTAAATCTCAACTCTATTAAAAATAAAGATTTTTCCTATTCCTCTTAGGTGTGTTTGATTGAAGGGATAAAGGGGGGATTATTTATTGTGCGGCTTGTAATTCGGGAGAAGTATTCAATCCGGCATTTATTTTTTTTTTAGTTCGCCAGACATGGAGTTCGGTCGGACTCCTTATCCCTCATGTGGGGAACTTTGTATCCTGGGGGGGTAAGGACAAATTTCGGGGGACTATCCACTGTTAGGATTAGGTGGTGAAATAATCATTTTGACCCTCTACTATTTAATTATGTATTATATTTAGTAAAATTCAATAAAATTTAAATGTCTCAATTTAAAAATAAAATAATTTTATTTAACTTTTTATTGATGTTTTATTTATTTAATTTTTTAAAATAATTTTTTATAGACATTTTATTGATGTTTTATTTTAAAATTTTGTTTATATTTTATTTAATTTCATTATTTAAATTTTAATAGATGTTTTATTTAATTTCATTGTTTAATTATTATTATTTTTAAAAATAAATTTATTTAAAATTTTAATTAAAAAAATAACATATATTTTTATTGATATTTTATTTATTTAATTTAAAAAAAATAAATTTATTTAATTGTGTAAAAAATAAAATAAAATAAAATTTTATTTAATCTAGCTAAAAATAATTAAAATATTGAAGATATGTTTAATATTGCTATTTCTTAATAAACAATTGAAAAATGGTAAATTAGTCTTTTGTTCATTTATCCTATCTAGTTCGTCTAACCAAACATTGGATTCATTAAAAATAGTCATTTTCAGACATCTAATCTCATGAAAAAATAAACACGGGATGCACATCCAATCCAACCAAATGGTCCGGGGAATTCACAATCTCAGGATTCAAGTCTGATAGATTCTAATTTCCCCTTATCCAGTCCGTCCAATCAAACACACCCTTGTGGACTATGATATCATAATTAGAAATTAAGAAATTTTGACCAAATAGCATATTATGGATCTAATCAAGACTCCTAAAAAAAAAAAAAAACCCAGTAATATATTCGTACCCATAAAAGACCCATGGGTGACTGCTACAAGCCTACAACCCATGTCCAGCAAATAACAAAAGTACTAAAATACCCCCAGCTACTAATACTTAATATAATGGCATAAGATCTATCCAACATCACACTAAATTAAAATAAACACAAATAAAAACTCACTCCATGATACCCTAAACATACCCCATGTAAAGCTTTCAGATTTTCCATCCTTTTTCTTCTTTCCATGTTCTTCATCACTAGCATAAAGTGAAAGAAAAGAAAAGACCAAAAACATTAAAAACAAAAAAATTGCAAAAATTCTCTTTTTTGTCCCTTTATGACTAGTTTTTGGTACCTTTTTTAGCTACTGCACTTGATTGCTGATTATCTCAACTTGACAATATCTTTCTAATCCATTCAATTTTGAAATTAGTTGGAAGTGAGGAATCTTCTTTTGCACTTAATATTTGCTATGATAATGAAGAGGTTAATTAACTGTATTCTGATTTATGAAGCTTTCTCTGTCCAGGTAGTCAACGTCCCAGAGAAGGGGGCTCGAAAGCATCCTAGAGGTGACAATATTCAGGTACACAGGCACTAGATTATTGTGCAAATATGTTTAGCATGATAGTTTGGATGAATGTGCTTACACTGAGTATAAGAAGTGTCAAACCAATCTAGACCTGAAATCTCATTGTGAAACCATAATATTTTAAAACAGAAATGCGTTAACTCTCCCAAAAAACCAGGAATTATAATTTTGTTATCTTCCTGTAGGTCATAATTCACAGGATTTTAATTACCAAGTGATATGCAATGATCTAAAACAGCAACAAAACTATAACAGGATATATAATAAGAGTCTACTGAGCATAATTTATGACTTTGTGATCATAGAATTACTTATAATTGAAAACTCAGAGATGCATACTTTAGTGGTTTGTTGTTTTAATGTGGTTTCGTCTTGGATTTTTGAGTGGCTGAGAAGTTTAATGGGAAGCACTTAATCAGGAATGTCTGGGCTTATAGGAAGGATAAAAATTCTAGCATATAAAAAGTAACAAGAGTTTGCCTTCCTTTGTTCATTTTTCTCGCATTTGTTTGATTTCAATTGATAAAGATGCAAAACTTCAAAAAATAAATAAATAAATAAAAGAAAAGAAAGTGTTACTGTTTCTTGAATTAGTTAAACATCTCTTATTATTTTTCCTAAACATATGACAAATGTATTCTATAGGTATCACCATTTTTTGATAGAAGCATCTTGTTACATGGACTCTTCCATTTCCCTTGAAATACCCATTTTCGCTGGATATGACAAGGGTAAGGGTGTGGGATATGTGCTGGACACCTGTACCCAATTCATACACTTGAATCTACTAATCTTTTTATGATTTTGTGGAAGAAGAAACTAACATATGCTAATAAAGAAAACATTTGTAGCCTCTTACATGGTTGAGAGAGAGAAATTCCATATTTTCCTAAATAATATTTAATCTCAAGTACATTCATAATTTACAACATCTTGGCCCTGTTTGGTAGAGCTGTGGGAAAGTGTTTATAGCTTATGCCTCAACAGCTTATAGCTTATAACTTTCAGCCAGCTTATTCTTAAAGCATCTCCTGCCCCACTCAAAGAATAAGCTGATTTCTGACTTCCAAAAAGTTATAAGCTATAAGCTAAACTAAACACATCAAAATAGCTTAAATTAAGCTGAAAGCTGAAATAAGCTGTAATTAAGCTCTGCCAAACAGACACCTTATCTAAGACAATATATGTGTCCATGATGCGTCCTCATACCTATATCCAATTTTCAGATACATGTCCCAATATCCTAAGGTTTAAATTTATGACAGGCACTCGCACCAGATACTCGTTTCCAAGTCCATGTAACACAATCTTTAGTTCTCTTTTTCAGTAATACTTCCAATTCCAATTTTTTTGCTGTTTCTAATATCTGATTAGGGTTAAATTAAGTCATCAGATAAGTTTTAACCTGATGGCTTTGCTTTGGATGGATCATCTCAGTCTTTCTGCTCTGGCTCATAAATCAGTTTATATATTCCTGGTGTTTATATTTTTCACAGGTTGATACAAAAGATATTCTCTTTATATGTGGGGGTGCCTTCATCAACTTGGAGAAAACTATCTCAGAAAGGTAATTACTAAAAGTAATTTTTTTTGCCTTCTCTACAGTATTAACTCTTTTGAGCTTTACTATAACTTGTAAGATCGATACTTCCAATTTCAGGCGTCAAGATTCTTCTATTGGGTTTGGTGCTCCAGTCCGTGCAAACATGAGGAGCAGTGGCATTACAAGCGCTGTTGTGGCATCATCACTATTGGAAACTGTAAGCTCATTCCAATCTTTTTATTGATTAAATAGCTGCCTGAAAGCCTTCTCTCTTTATGTGTATATATATATTGATATTTACAAGAAGAAAAACAAGTTTTCTTACTCGCATTGTGGAGTGTGAAGATACTTATAGATTTGATATTTACAAAAAGAAAAACCCGTTTTGTCTTACACCGCGAATTATGAAAGATACATTCTGTATGAACTATCATGTTTGGCAGGTTGAGAGCAGCGATCTTATTGCATATGGTTTGATACCTGAATTTGTTGGACGATTTCCCATCCTTGTTAGTTTGTCGGCTCTCACCGAGAACCAACTTGTTCAGGTATTTTTGCAGACATGTGCATTTGTTAGTTGTCTTGTATACCTGGCCTGCTGGTCTGTTTGTTTATTCTTCTTTTTCTTATTTTTAATATGAAATTTAATTGTTTGTCAATCTTAAATAAATGCTCAATAATGTTTTGTAGGTGTTAAGAGAGCCAAAAAATGCCTTGGGGAAGCAATACAAAAAGATGTTTACAATGAACGGAGTAAGTTTTTTTTTTGTCAGGCCTCTCTTCTCCCAAGTCGGTTTGTAGAAATTTAAGTTTAAAAGTTTGACATTGAGTCGCGGATCTGTGGCAATGGGTGTCATTCAATTTTTTTTTCTCCCATGAACGTATAAGTTTTCTTGTCGGGCCTCTCTTCTCCCAAGTCGGTTTGTAGAAAACTAAAGTTCAAAAGTTTGACACTCTGAATCGCAGATCTGTGGTAATGGGTATCATTCAATTTTTTTTTGCCCCCTGTGGTTCTAGACCGGTATTATTCTTTTATTGACCTGGTAGACAATATGTATGAAATGTTCTTGGATTTACCAGGTGAAGTTGCATTTCACAGAAAATGCATTGAGATTAATTGCTAGGAAAGCAATAACAAAGGATACTGGTGCTCGGGGTCTAAGATCCATCTTGGAGAATATTTTGATGGATGCCATGTATGAGGTATGTCAGACCATTTTTTTATCCACTAATTTTGGTCTATGTACAAGTCAGGAAAGGATGCATATGTGGAAGTTGTAAGTTAACAGATTATCTTGCTTGAACTTGAACAGTTGAACTTAAAAGGGATAGTGATGTGGGTATACATTAAGTTTCCATTAGAAAAATAAATGTCCTTGACAAAGCTTTGATTGAGTCTTGGAACCAAGGTTTCAAGTATGGTTGCGGTTGCTGTAAATTGTAATGGAAACGGTTGCGGCAATTGGAGCCATCAAAATTTTCATTTTTTAAACTACTTTGAAAAAAATTATCGATACATATGTTTTTATTTTAGAATCACATTTGTTGAGATTTAAAATGGTTTTTAGAAGATTTAGGCCTTGTTTGGGATGATCTACATAAGTGTACTTTTTGACTTTTTATGAAATATGGATTGGGTTTGAAGTGATGTGGTAGAGAGGTGATGTGATTTAAATAAGATGATGTGACTTAAATAGGATAGTGACTTTTTGACTTTTTGTGTTATGCCAAACTTAGCCTTAGTCCTATATTTTTTTGAGCAATGCTATACTTACCATTTGGTTTGACCATTTACATTTACCATTTGATGTGGCACACTCTACCATCATTGATACAATAGATTCCACATACATAACATTAATATCTAAGGGTTGGGGAGCGTGATAAATGAAAATGGTAAAATATAAATAGTCACCATAGCATTTGTCTTCTTTTTTTTTAATTTTTAATTTTAACGTGATCTAATATATATGTACTAAATTATATTGACATTTAATGATTTCATGTATCATAAATTCATGATGCACCACTTTACTCTTATTTTTTTATTAAAAGTTTGGCCTAATAACCTTGAGGTCATGGATTGAAATCTCGAGGCAATCACTTTGTGCATTATACCAAAGGTTAGGTGTGTACCTAATATTTCCCTTTCCAAACACATATTAATGTGTATTAATTGGGGGTTGTTTTTTAATAGGTATAGACTAATAATGTTGTGTTGTGTTTCAAGTTTGCAAGTTACATATGTTCAATAAAAAAATTTGAATATCATTGCAATTATTTTATTAAACAAACTAAAATGATATGATCCATGTCTTCAAGTTACACAAGTAACACAACATACAACTTACAAGGTACAACTGCATGTAAAAATTATGTTTAATCTTTAATGTTGAGTGAATAAATAAATAAATAACAGGCTGAAAGAGGAGAAAATGAGCAAAAAATTGGCTTCAAATATAGCAGATGCCGCCACTATTATGTAACAGTTGCAGCCCATTTTTAAACTATGCTTGGAACACTAGAGTTAAATATTTCAATTTTTTTCCGTGTGCTGATTATTTGTAGAAATTGCCAAATTTTGTACACAAAATTAGTAATTTTTTTGAGAGAATTAATATTTATGGAATAAGAACACCTGAAATTGAAATTCAGGAATGTTTTTGTGTGTGAAATTGCTATTCATCACAATCATTTGTGCAAAAACTTTATGATTTAGTCACAATCCACAAATGTTACTGATGTTCTGTTTCTTCACAGTGATTCACTTGTTTGAAGAATATTATCTTTTTATTCTTTTAATAACTGTGATTTTATATTTGAATCTTTTGCAGATTCCAGATGTAAGAACCGGTAATGATATAATAGATGCTGTTGTAGTTGATGAGGAGGCTGTTGGATCAGAGGGACGCGGGTGTGGAGCCAAAATCCTCTATGGGAAGGGTGGATTGGACCGCTATCTTTCACAAAATAAATTAAAAGATATAGAGGTCGAAATCACTCAACCATATATGTATCTTGTCAAATTAGTGTTGTATGCACTGAGTTTCCAATAATTTTTGGGGCAATTGCCCTTCGATGTTGTGTTGCAGATGGGTGCAGAGGTCTCTGATGCGGAATCCGAGGTGGAACCGGAGCTTCCTTCAATTGTTGCTTTGTAACCATTTCCTGAAGGTTTATATTTCTGGTCTCACCCAATGTACAATAATATAAAATTTAAATGAAAAACATTAGTTTAATAGATTAACTATGCAATTATTTGTCTTCTGGTGTTTTCAATTCAATTATGAAGTAACCCAGTCCCATCTGATAAAATGAGACTTCAATTTTTGTCATGGACCTCTATGGGTCACTACTAGTATCTTGCTGATTGTTTGAAACTCTGCTCCTGTCCTATAGGAAAGTAAACTAGTTCAATTTCTATGTGGATATGCTGACTTCATAGAATCAGAATAATATTGTATTATCAACAGTCATTATGCTTTCAATTATTTGTTGAGTTATTTTACGCCAAACTATCCTCAATTATTAGAAAATCCAACTTTTCCCTTCAACTATGAAAATATATCACTTTCATCCTTGCAGATCACCTTTAAAAGGGGTGTACTTGTATCATTTTCATAGTTGAAGGGGTCAATATGGGAGGATATAGTGATATTCATTAATAATTGAGGGATCTTAAGTCACGTTTGTTTGGCGGAGTAGGTTGGATGGAATTATTAGTAAAATGATGGTTAGTGAAGAGATTGTTAATGTGGAGATGGCTAGTGAGGAGATTAAGTAAAAGTGTGTCTGTTTTGATGATAGAGGAAGAGATGGTTAGTGATGGGGTTGTTAAATTATTTTTATATAAAATAAAAAAAAAATTTCTATATTTTAAAAAAAAAATTTTGAAAGAAATATAAATTTTTTTTTACAAACAACAAGCTGCACTTGGGTAAAAAAAAAAAAAAAAAAAATTGTACTTTTCGATCGACCGGAACACTTAATCCCCTTCTTATTTTTTTTAATCTTACCAAATCAGCAAATCTAATCCGGTTACTGGGAGGGATTGTTAATACCACTGGACTAACACTCCACTTACAAGAGTGAACCAAATATGATTTCATGGACCCGGGAGGCATCTTAGTCTAATCTCACCCTCCAAACTTTCAAAGAAACGTAATCTTAGTATAATTAACCCTTATTTCTTCAAAGAATTTGTGGAAAAAGTGTATAGTTAAGTGTAGGGTAAATTACACTTGGTACCTGTGCATTTTCACCAAATTTTTACTTTGATCTCTTCACTTTAAATTGTAATAGTTTATTTCTTACACTTCTAAGTCAAGTTTCAATCTCATCTTCTTATTCATCTGGCGTTAATAAAGCTAATGGAAAATGAAAATCAATTGTAACGTTCCAATTTTCTAACCTAAATGATAATACAACAATCATGGCTCTTTCAAGGAAAACCGAATATAAATTCCCAAACTTATATTACATGATACAATAGTTTTTTATGCAACAATATATTAATCCAACAACAAGTAAATAAACAAATATATACTTCCAAGGGTTTACAAGTTTCCAAGGTTTGAGTCTGGTTACATAAAACGATTATTCAAACCTACATATATAGAGTCCTTAGCTTACACATAGAGTCACAGCAAAATGAGAATCTCGTACTCGCAACACATATTTTCTCGCATTTAGTTAGGCGGCATCACAACATCTTTTCCTGCACAAAATCCCGTAAGGTGAGCATAAAGCCCAATAGGAAATTCTTAACAAAGTATATACATTTTATACAAGTCTCAAGAGATAGAATGTACATGCCATGTTATGTCTGTTTTGAAGATAAATCACATTTTCATCTTTTGAAAAACATCATGCTCAATGATGTTATGCAATTTCAATTGTTCAAAATTAAACAATTTATTTCAAGGGCGGTAAATACGACTCTGGTAATCCTTAGGTCGGTGTCTGCAAGTAGACCATACAAGTACTACCAATTTGTCATTTTTATCGGTATTAACCGGAAGGCTCGACACCTATTCGCGCGTTTTCGGTCTTTCACCCCGGACTCTCAGGCCAACTTATTCAATATCACCTACACCACCTATCAAGGCTTACCAATGCATTTATCCCAAAACCATTCCATGAAAGCTTATTTCTCAACATTATTTTCTCAATGCAAGTTTTCAAATCAACTTTCAAAGTTTAATGTAATTAAATAATTGATATGCCAATAACACAAGATGAATATAAATACTGTTATTCCAATTCATCATCCAAGGAATAACACAATTCCCTCTTCTCAAGTATCATCAACAATTAGTCATTTCAAAACTATTTTAACGTTTTGAACAATAATTTTCAAAATGAACAACAATTCTCATATTCCCTAAAATTCATCATTTATATAAATATAAATAAGAAAATTTTCAAACGTCAATTTATTTTGACACACAAAATAAATATAACAATATCATTCATGGATTTTCAGTCTCTAAAAAAAAATCTCCAAATTCTAGGTTTTCTTACCAAAACTATAAAACTCAAATCTTTTGAAAGAAAACTTTCCAAAATCATATTTTTTTCAGTCAATGAAAATCAAAACTCATAAGATAATTTTAAAAGAACAAAAGGCAATCCCACTTTCAAAATCGCTCAACTTCTTGAATCAACAATTAGTTTTCAAAGCTATCGAAAGATGATTTCGAAAATCATATAGATCTTGCAAAAATATATATATGACTCTAAGAAAATCCTTATCTCAAGTTTTGAAGAAGAAATGAGATGAAACCCCAAAATTTACAATGTCGAAACTCGATCACCATAGCACACAACGAAGCCCTCAAGAAGTTACATAGCTTTGATGAAGAACTTTGGTCTAACTCCCAACGGATTTGGAGGAATCAAAGTGAGAAGATGACTTCTAGAGAGAGAAGCTCTAGATCTGAAAAATTTGGAGAGTTTTAGAGAGAGAGAGAGAACTGAAAAAGTGATCTGAAATCTCCCCTTACGGACTAATATAACATGGTCCGCTTGAGCGTGAAATACACTTTCCCGTAAGCAATTTCGAATGCATTTTGTATTTTTGCTTTCGGCGAGCTGTCCGAGCAACTGGACCCCCGTACGTTGACCGAGTCAAAATCGGGATCACTACAGCCTCCCCTTTTAAAGAATTTTGTTCCTGAAATTTCAAATCAAACTACCCAAACAAAGGGGGTTTCTAGCGATCAAAACCACGCTATTTCATTTTAAAATTACAATATTAACTCTCAACCAATATATATATATATATATATTTTTAATTTCCACCATGGTTATCTCATTAACAACAACCGTCCACATCAACCTAACACATGAAACAAAGAAATGACAATCCGTAACTACTTCATGGTTAATATAACAACATACATAACAACATGTGGTCAACAATTTTAACACATTTCCCTCAAACACTAGGGAATATTACAAGGAAAAACAATTTAAGCATTTTCAAACAAATCCAGATACTTAGAGCGGACTTCCGCCTCCCGTTCCCACGTTGCTTCTGCAACCCCATGGTGTCTCTACAACATCTTTACCAACGGTATAGTTTTTCCCTGTAACACTTGCTCTCGGGTATCTAATATTTGAACCGGTCGTTCTTCATAAGAGGCATCCTCATCTACTTCCAAGTCAACCCAATCAAGCACATGAAAAGGGTCCGGTTCATACTTCCTAAGCATAGCTACATGAAACACGTTGTGAATTCCCGAAAGTTGTGGCGGTAAAGCTAACCGGTATGTCACTTCCCCAATTCACTCTAAGATCTCAAAAGGCCCAATGAACCTTGGAGATAATCTGCTACTCTTACAAAATCTCATCAAACCCCGCCTTGGTGAGATTTTTAGAAACACATGGTCACCAACTTCAAAAGATAAATGTCGTCTCCTCTTATCGGCATAACTCTTTTGTCGGCTTTGGGCCGTAACTAACCTCTTTTGTCGACCCCCGTAAGTTGACCGGGTCAAAATCGGGATCGCTACATCAATCGACTAAAGTGAGATTTTGGTAAAAATGTGAGGATTAAAGTGAGATTTTAGTGAAGTGCATAGGTGTTAATGAGATAAAATGTCACATATGCTGCAAATGAAAAATTCCACCCACTTTGTTAATGGTGAATGAATGGAATGGTGAAATTGAAACTTGATTTAAAATGTGAAGGGTTGATTATTACAATTGAAAGTGAATTGATCAATATGAGATTTTGGTAAAAGTGCCAGTGTACTAAGTATAATTTAGCCTTAAATGTGCGGTTTAAAGTGATATAATTTTATAATTAAGGGTTTAAATGTATGGTTTATTATTTAATAAAAAATAAATAATATTCAGTGAAAATTGAGGGACCATTTGTATAATTAATTTGAAATAAAATATACATTTAATAAAAATTTTAGTCTCTCAAAGAATGCGTCTTGTGTTATTTTGGTTCTAATGTTTCAAATGTGTCAATTTGACATCAAATGTATTAGTTTTGTTACTAAATGGTCCCTACTTCTGTTGTCGTCTACAATTAATAACAAAAGTAAGGGTGTTTTTGTCACAAAGTATGTGATTTATTTTAATTTGGTATCCGATGTTTTCAATTGTGTCAATTTAGTCTTCAGTTGTTTGAGAAATGCTAGATTAGTATATTTTTTGGTTTTTTACGAAAAAATATGAAATGTGGGTTATGGTTAAAGTGATATGATAAAGAGATGATGTGACCTGAATAATAAGTGATATGATCTAAATATGATAATATGCTAAATAGACATGTGTTATTTTAGCACATGTCAAACAACCAGTCATAGGTGTTTGACAAAAATACCTTTTTGTTATCAATTGTAAACGAAAATAGAGGTATAAACTATTTATTGACAAAATTAATAAGTAGGGACCAAATTGACATATTTAAAATATTGAGTACTAAATGTCACAAAATATATATTTTGGGACTATTTGTGTAACTAATCCCTAAAATATATTTTAAAAAATCCAAAATAAAAGTAGAATTGAATAAAGTAAGAGTATGACAATAGTAAAAAGAATTGGGTCAGGATAGGATTAGGGGTGATAAATGAGCTGAACAATTAATTATATAAGTTTGATTTGAAAATTTTAACGAGTTTTAAAATTTGTTCAAGCATGTTCGTTAAATTTTCAAGCTGAACTTAAATAGTTTGGTATTTTTATATAGTTTTAAACTTATTGAATCGAGTTGAACAAACAATATGACCTTGATTTAAAAAATTTAGATCATCCCAACCCAAACCCAACCCATATTTCACAAAAAGTCAAAAAGTACACTTATTTAGATCATCCCAAACAACCCCTAAAAATTAAATAATATTCAATGAAAATTGAGGGACCGTTTGTAAAATTAATTTGAAATAAAATATACAGTTAATAAAATTTTT